TTTTCTAGATTGTACTTTAAATTTCTATTACTGGAGGATGGAGGGGGCTTAATAATTTATTCCTCCTTAGTAAATTGTCATAGATACATCATTTGCAGCTTTTTCCATTTTATAATTACTTTCCTATATGATCTCGTGTTATTTCTAATGATCTTGTACATCAAGGGATCGTTCTAATTCCTACCTTTGAGTGGTTTGCGGTTCACACAGAGCTTGTCAGTCACTTAGGCTACTTGTTGGGCAAGGTGGGCAGCAGCTGTTACTTTCCCTGCGTAGATGAAGAGGTGAGCGGGGGGTAGAAGAGTCTGGAACATCAGTGTCACTTACTGATGTTCCTCCACCTGCCGTGCTCCCGGGTCTGAGCTGGAGCACAGGTGGTGAGGGCCTCGGGAACATGGGACACAGGGACAGTCACAGGTGCCAACATTGGGGGTCATCTGCAGGTGGTGAGGGCCTCGGGAACATGGGACACGGGGACAGTCACAGATGCCGGCATTGGGGGTCCTCTGCAGGTGGTGAGGGGCTTGGGAACGTGGGACACGGGTCAGTTGCAGATACCAACATTGGGGGTCCTCTGCAGGTGGTGAGGGCCTCGGGAACATGGGACACGGGGACAGTCGCAGATGCCGGCATTGGGGGTCCTCTGTGGGTGGTGAGGGCCTCAGGAACGTGGGACACAGGAACAGTCGCAGGTGCCAACATTGGGGGTCCTCTGCGGGTGGTGAGGGCCTCGAGAACGTGGGATATGGGGACAGTGTCAGATGCTGACATTGGGGATCCTCTGACCTACTTGTAACAGCATCAGAGCACAGGTGGTGAGGGCCTCAGGAATGCGGGACCTGGGGACAGTTGCAGATGCCGACATTGGGGGTCCTCTGATCTACTGGTCACAGCAGGTGCTCGGGGCAGAGGGAAACGGGGACATTCGGAAGCTTCCCTCTGAAGAAGAGGAGCTACGGTCCTTACCTCCCTCTTAGATATGGTCTTTCCTTCCCTCTTTTTTTCTTGGAGATTCAGTCTCGCTCTGTCGCTTAGGCTGGAGTGCAGTGGCGCAATCTCGGCTCATTGCAACCTCCGCCTTCCAGGTTCAAGTGATTCTTCTGCCTCAGCCTCCTGAGTAGCTGGGATTACAGGCACTCGCCATCATGCCTGGCTAATTTTTGTATTTTTAGTTGAGACGGGGTTTCACCATGTTAGCCAGACAGATCTCGAACCCCTGACCTCAGGTGATCCACCCACCTCAACCTCCCAAAGTGCTGGGATTACAGGCGTGAGCCACCGCGCCTGGCCTACTTCTCTCTCTTTCTCTGGTCTGCAGCACAGATATCCTGCTGGGGGAGGTGGGCTGGTGGAGGTATGGGCACCTTGACATTTCACCTGAAATCTTCCTTTCCACAGGTCCTGAGGCACGTGAATGGCCAGGATCAGATTGTGCATGGGCTGTACGCCTGTGGGGAGGCCGCCTGTGCCTCGGTACATGGTGCCAACCGGCTCGGGGCAAACTCGCTCTTGGACCTGGTTGTCTTTGGTCGGGCATGTGCCCTGAGCATCGAAGAGTCATGCAGCCCTGGTAAGTGTTTTCTTCAGGAGCCAGACTGTTCGAGAAGGCGCAGGAGGTTACAGTTGTTTTTCTTTTTTTTGAGACAGGTCAGACCAGGCTGGAGTGCCGTGGCACAGTCATAGCCGCGTCAACCTCCCGGGCTCGAGCAGTCCTCAACACCTCCACCTGCAGAGTCCCAAGTAGCTGGGACTACAGATGTGCACCACCACACCTGGCTAATTAAAAAAATTTTTTTTTTTTTTGTAGAGACAGGGTCTCACAATATTGCCCAGGCTGGTCTTGAACTCCTAGACCCAAGCAGTCCTTCTGCCTCAGCTTCCCAAAGTACTGGGATTACAGACATGAGCCACGACCCCCAGCCAGATTACAAAGCCTCGATTTGTTACTGGAAATTTGCTTAGTGGTCATATAGAGGTAGTCTGGGTTTTTTCCCCTAGAAGTGATTAAACTGAGAAATCCGGAGGTTATATGGTGGTAATGTTGAGACTAGATAGAGGCTGGTTGGGGATCTTAACAGTTAAGGTGACATTTTTGGGGTTACTTTTTTTTTTTTTAATTTGTAGTCATTATGTTCTGCTTAGAAAAAGCACTATTAGGAAGTTGTTATTTTTAGGGGAAGTTCATTACATATTACTTGCCTGATAAAAATCACTTATTTGCAATGAAATTTTTTAAATAGTTGGTGTGAATGAATATGTAACATGGTACTTAGAAAAATAATTTAGGCCATTCTAAAAACAAAGTACAGCTAGCCTCTATTAGAGGAGAAAGGATGACTTACAGTGAACAGGATTCCCACTCTTTACAGACAGATTGGATTTCACTTGCTGGTTTTCTTTTCATCATAGCATCAAATAATGTGTAGGAGAAGAAATACCGTGTGTGGGAGTGTGAGTCTCATGTGCACTAAGAACGGGACAGTTAGCATCGCTCTCACCTCCAGAGATCTTTACGGTAGTTATCCAGCCTCGTGTGCTCAGAACAGTGTGAGGTGGATGGGGCACCGGTGGATGTTTGTGTGGCAAGGATGGTGGGACCCCAGGCCCACATTCTTCCCGTTAACCTTTCTCTGGTGTTAACTGTTTGGCATCATTTCTGCTGTGTTTATAGAACAGGTGGTTTTTGTACGGATTCAAGTGAAATAAAAGCTAGGACTGCCATAACTTATAAATATGCCCCCTTTTATATCTGTAGTTAGAAAATTACAGAGAGTACTAAAAGGGTAGCTTACTTCAGCCACTCTGTCTCTGGATCTGACCACAGCTCGGGAGGGCAGCACATGCAGAGCTGGAGTCTTACCCCAAGTCGCTGCTGATCATGGGCGAAGGCGGAGTTCGGGTCCATCGTTCCTGACGCCACAGGTTGTGCTTGTCTCACTCCATAGCCCTGCAGTTTGTAGCAGTGGGGACTGATACCACTTCTCTCAGAGCAATGTAGAAATTTTGAGCTTCTCTTTCTTTGAAAATGCAAAAAAGAACATTTTGTAAGAATACCCTATACTTTACATCTGAGAAACCACTCACGCATGCAGCATCTCACGCAGAGTGCTGTGGAGTCAGACTCAAAAGGCTGCACACCTGTGGCTCTCTTGATACAACATTCTGGAAAAGGCACATCTAGGGAAGAAAAGGAATTGGTGGTTGCCAGAGGCTGTTTCCTGATTGTGCTAATACAGACACAGCTCTGTGTGTGTCAAAATTTGAAAAACCCTATGCTAAAAATGATGAGTTTATTTTACTGTATCTTTGTGCTTTAATTTTTAAAAATGGAAGGGAAAGAAAAAATGCTTGTAGCATCACTACTTCTCCCCTACCCCCCCCCCAAAAAATACATATTTTTAGAGATAGTCTCCCTCTGTCGCCCAGGCTAGAGTGCAGTGGTACGGTCAGGTGCATGCCACCACACATGGCTAATTTTTTAAAATGTTTCAGAGGGACAGGGTCTCCCTGTGTTGCCTAGGATGGTCTTGAACTCCTGGCGTCAAGTGATCCTCCTGTCTCAGCCTCCAAAAGTGGTTATATGCATCTATACATGTGTTAAAGTTGGTAGAACTGAGGCTGGGCGCAGTGGCTCATGCCTATAATCCCACCACTTTGGGAGACTGAGGCAGGCAGATTGCTTGAGCTCAGGAGTTCAAGACCAGCTTGGGCAAGGTGGTAAAACCCCGTCTCTGCAAAAAATACAAAAATTAGCTGGGCATGGTGGCTCACACCAGTGTAGTCCCAGCTACTTGGGAGGCTGAGGTGGGAGGATTGCTGGAGCCTTGAAGGCGGAGGTTGCAGTGAGCCGAGATCATACCACTGCACTCCAGCCTGAGCAACAGAGGGAGGAGACGCTGTCTCAAAAAAAAAAGAAAAAAGAAATTGTAGAACGGTCCACTGAAAGAAAAAAGTCAATTTTACTGAATGATCAATTTTTAAGGCATTATAATCAAAAGGAAAAGAAACACCAGCAATCCCAGAAGCATTTGAGCAGGCCCTCAAGAGACCCACACCCTGGTCCCCTGGGGAGGCGGTGGGCGGGGCGGGGCCTGTTTGACTCCTGCATTTCATACCTCCTACCTTCTGCATGTATTATGTGTTGAAGAAAATATATATAATGTTATAAAAGGAACTTTAAAACTTTTTTCAAGACATCTTAGAAACACAAGAGTTGCAAATCTCGGCTGTGCACATTGCTCACACTTGTGATCCCAGCACTTTGGAAGGCCGAGGCAGGTGGATCACCTGAGGTCAGAAGTTTGAGACCAGCCTGGTCAACATGGTGAAACCCCATCTCTACTGAAAATACAAAAATTAGCCAGGTATGGTGGCATACTCCTGTAGTCCCAGCTACTCCGGAGACTGAGGCAGAAGGATTGCTTGAACCAGGAGGTGGAGGTTGCAGTGAGCCGAGATGGTGCCAATGCACTCCAACCTGGGCTACAGAGCAAAATTCCATCTCAAAAAAAAAAAATTGCAAATCTTGAAATGTAGGTGAGAGCACACAAGAGTCCAAATCAGCAGGTGACTTTCAAGCACACAGCAGCCACCTTCCTTCCTCTGATGCGAAGGATGGTGGGGTGGCCGGCCCCTTGGGACCACCATCTGGAAGGTGTTTTTTTTTTTTCCCCTTATATACACTTATTCCCATTACATACACACATTTATATACACTTAATATGTATAAATTTGTATACTTTTTTTTTTTTTAAAGACAGCGTCTCACTCTGTTGTGCAGGCTGGAGTGCAGTGGTGCGATCTCAGCTCACTGCAACCTTCACCTTTCAGGTTCAAGCAGTTCTCGTGCCTCAGCCTCCCGAGTAGCTGGGATTATAGGCACGTGCCACCATACCCCGATAATTTTTGTGTTTTTAGTAGAAACGAGGTTTTGCCACATTGGCCAGGCTGCTCTTGAACTCCTGACCTCAAATGATCCACCTATCTCGGCCTCCTAAAGTGCTGGGATTACAGGCGAGAGCTACTGCACCTGGCCTTCATTTAATTTTTTAATTTTAGAGATGATTTCTAGTTTATTCACTCTAAGATAAGTTAATGGATATCTACTGTGTGCCAACAATTTTGCCTTTATGTATGTTCTTTAAAATTGGCCCCAACTCAACAGATGGCCTCAGATGTAGGGTGGGCTGGCCGTGTGTTAGCTGAGAAGACTTCTGCAGTTTCCAGGCTCCTTGAGCGGCCGTGCTACGTTTTTTTGTGTCATTCTAAATCCATTTGGTTTTTTAGAACGGTTTTGAAAAGTTAAATTCTAGCTTTTTTGTTTTGTTTTAGGAGATAAATTCCCTCCAATTAAACCAAATGCTGGGGAAGAATCTTCATGAATCTTGACAAATTGAGATTTGCTGACGGAAGCGTAAGAACGTCGGAACTTCGACTCAGCATGCAGAAGGTAAGAGCCTGGACTCGCTCTGGAGTGAGCAGGCCGGCTGCATACCTGGCCCTGCACTGGTTTTGTTTTTTTAAAAATAGATTTGGGGGATGCAGGTGCAGTTTGTGTGGACGTACCGTGAGGTGGTGGAGTCTGGGCTTTTCACGTCACCCAAGTCGTGTATGTTGTACCCAGCAGATAATTGCTCATCGCCACCCCTCCCGCTTTTTGGAGCCCCCAGTCTCTGTTAGTCCACTCCGTGTGGCCACGTGTACTCACCATTCAGCTTCCACTTCCAAGTAAGAATGTGACACTTGACCTTGAGTCACTTCACTTAGGAGAGTGACCTCCTGTTCCATCCACGTGGCTGCAGAAGACATGAGTGCGTTATTTTTTTATGGCTGAGTATTTCATGGTGTTTATGTACCACATTTTCTTTGTCCGGTCATCCGCTGATGGGCACTTAGGTTGATTCCATGACTTTGCTGTTGTGACTAGTGCTGCGATAA